AGATGTGGTATAATTGCCAATTACAACTCTCAAACAGAGACCAATTGACGTAGGAGTTAACAACTATAGTTCACCGTACAGCCTTCAACAATGCGGAGCAAAACCATACCGCATAGTAAGTTATGAAAGGCACTGAAATGACAAATGTACAACAATCCAAACGAGAAAACTAACGGCCTGATCTATGTATACAAAACAATAAACGAAAAAAACCAAATATGATTTATTGCAACAAACGACAACCACTGAATTACAGACTCCTGACTTGGGACAGACACATACAGAATGTGGCCGGGTAAACCAGTCCACTCTTCTTGGATTATAACATCACCGATTGAGACTTATTACCGAATTTGTAATTACTATGAGCAACATGACGAGTGCCTCTAATGCAGCAGGATCTGCCTTTCGGAGCACCTAAGATTACCCCCAGTTTTTGGTGGGGTTCATGCTGCTGAGTTTTTAGTTTTCTATGTTGTATATGTGGATTAATTTCTTTGAATTTTGTCGTATTCTTTTTTTTTTCTTCATGAAATTGTCCACATTTCCTTCTTTTTCGACTCTTTTTTTCCTAAATATAGTGTGATTTTTTTACGTAAGAAAATAATTAGATATTTTAATTTTTATGAAACGTTTTACTAGTTACTTTATGTATTAAGAATATTGATCTGTCTTCCGTTCTAACATAAAAAATGTTGAGAGATTTTAAAAAGGAGTTGACCTTTTTGCAAATTTGATAAAGTTGCTGTAAAACATGTCGACAACCTCCATGCACCAGCCATTATCGTGTCTTGCATCTTCTTGTAAGGCCACAACCATTTATCTTTTTTGTCTCATTGATACTCAATGTTGGATTTTTCATGGAAATAAATTGTTTCCTCTCCACTTTTGAAACAAATTAGGGGGAACCATTTGATTTTCGGGTTTGTGGGATGTAAAAAAAGGTAGCTTTCGTAAAAATGAATTATTATAATGGTTGATACCAAATCAGTGGCTGATTGAGGGGTCGTAGAGGTCGTATACCCCCTTTCATACGAAAATTACGGCATTAATTTGAAGAAAAAGTCTTCTTACTACGCTTGTCGATGATGTTAGTTCCATGCACTAAAGAAACCTACCCCCTTTTCATCGAGCCCTGCATGGACTTCTCTTCAAATGTCTGAAAATCCAGAGGTCAGCAGATAACAAACCAAATGCCAGAAACAGTAAAGAGCCTCCTCATGGGGTTTTTGATTATGTGATTACTTGGCCGTTTTTATAGTGATTATTTGATTACCAGACCAAATATTTCATGATTATTTGATTATTTGATAATCTAGGACTGTATTTTTGATTATTTTATTATCTTGTTTAAAAAAATAATTAATGCTTATGTGATTATATTGTAAATTTATTCTGGGTGTGCACAAAAAAACCACAAATTTTGCAGCCTTATCTGAACTTGGTCGGTTTCCACTGTACTTTGACTTAGTCAAATCTATTTTGAATTATTGGCTTAGACTAGAAAATTTAGACTCATTTCCTTTATTACAAGTTGCATACCAGCATTCAAAAACTTTATTTTCTCAGCATAAATCGTCATGGTATGGCTCTCTCCAACAAATTTTAAAAACTCTTCCTGGGTTTGCAAACCTAAATGATGGGAAAAATATTTCAAAAAATACCATCAGGAAAATATTGAAAGAGACATGCATAAAAATTTGGAAGGATCAACTGACCAAGAATTCAGAAGGGAAGCTCCGCACTTATGTAAAATTTAAGAATAATTATGGTTTCGAAAAATATCTAAATATCATGTCCAATTTTGAACTTAGGAGATCATTAACAAAATTTAGGGTGTCATCTCACCATTTGCAGATTGAAATAGGACGATACCAGGGTACTCCTCCACACCTTAGACTATGTCAGCAGTGTAACTCTGGTAATATAGAAGATGAAGTTCATTTTCTCTTTTATTGCACAAAATATAACGAAGACAGACACCATTTATATCACATTATTTCGGAATCATGTCACAATTTTATTAACTTAAATTCCCAAGAGAAATTGCTATGGCTGTTGTCTTGTGAGAACTTAACTGTATTAAAAGAGTTGTGTATATTCCTGGTTAAACACTGCAAATAGCAGATTTATATGACATGTTTCGCATAATTGATAATTGTTGTTATTTAAAAAAAAAAATAATTATTTGTTAATTGACCGGATTCAGTTTCTCTTTTTATTTTGTTCATCTGCTTCTGACACGGGGAGGATTGCTGTTATTGCCTATCGCAATCAACAGTATATCCTAGAGCACCGTCCCTTGGTGTCTCCTGCAGATGAACAAATTTCCATCTTTATAGATAATAATTTAAGGTTGTTCAAACTTTATTATTAATACTTTTTTTTTATTTTTACACTGCTGGACATAAGGAAGGAAGGAAACAACAAAAATACTCAAGAGTACTTTTAATGTACTTTTGTTATTAATGCTATTTTCATTGTCTATTATAATATCTGTCACGTTATATACTGTACAATAAAATTGTGATTACGTGATTACTTGGACACCCCCATGAGGGGCCTCACTAAATTCTCAGCAGTCTTGTTTGCGCCAAGAATAAAAAAAAATGTTTTCTGTTCTGGGTTTAAAAAAAACTCCGTTCCTCGAGGATCAAATGCCTTTTGGGGTTGCTTCCTTACCCCCCCCCCCCCCCCATATATATGATCAAGCAATTTAGGGAATGATCATTTGATTATCAGAATTGGTGGTAGTAGGATTTTTTATTTTCATTCTTGTACACAACTATATCCTGCATTGTCCTGCATATTGTTGGACAGAATATTCATGTCCAGGCTGTCTTAGGCAAAGCTTTTTATTAGGTATTACTAGACTAGAATATTCATATCAAAAAAAGTCCTGCCCTAACCCCCCAGAATATTAAATTGTCATTTATTAAAAAAAATGCCATCTCACAAGAGACTATCGAATACGAGACTAGTGTAATTTCTAAATGTATGTTTATTTAATTCTCAAACTGGAATTTCTGCAGCTAGATACATTTGTCAATTTCGGGTTAGGAAAACAAGGGTGCTGAAAATGTTTTTGATCCCTATAAACATTGATTTGACCCACATTCTCGCCTGAAAACATCAAAAGAGATTTTTCCCGATTTCTCGTGGGAAGTAATCATCGGTCCTTTGATGTGTGCCACGTGACCTTGTCAGTTTCCACATGCGGAGTTCATCAATTTCGTGCACTTTTAGTCTAATCAGCTGATGGACAGTGTGTAACAGGGACACACGCATAAGGTGTACACGCGTTGTCGCGAAAACAATGCATTATTATGTGAGCAGTCCAGGAAAGAGTAACCAAAGATCACAAAAACTTTCAAGCATGGACAATTATTTGTCCACCCTTGGTCTGTGGAGAAAACCCGTTGCCCGTGATGGGTTTTGCTTGTTTCGAGCAACTTCAGAACAGGTGAGTTGACGAATGGAGTTTCTGTTGCAGAAACTGCTCTTATTATATTTGCTAAATTGCTATTATTTGTACGATGTTTGAATTATTATTATTTTTCTGTAATCTGCCTTTTCACGGCATGATATCGTTTTTTAAAAATATTATATAAAACCTGAGAAACAATTTCAAACGGCAAAAATAACTGATAAATTAGTTGTTTGTTATTCATTTTTTTCACAGTTGCAGTTGATGTAATTATATATTGTTGGTTAACTCCTTTAAGAATGGCAAAATCTGACAACATCAAGATTGTTATATATGTACGTTGATACCAAGCATCATTTCAAGGGGGCAATATATTAATATACGTAGTTTTATGAATTGAAATTTTGGAATTGATATATAAAAGGTAAAATTCTGTGGAAAAGTGATATATTTGTATGTTTTTTAATTGATAACATACTCTAGTTATAGTCATTGATAGTTGTGAAAATATATTTATATTTATAGGTATACATGACACAGGCTCATTATGAAAAACTATATAATCTATCCAAAGAGTTTTTCTACAGACTTGAAGGAATAGACCAGGATTATGTAAGTTTTCTTCTAACATAAGTAATTTTATTTTTTTTTAACAATTTTCATTAACTTGATAAATAGCCGATCCAGTTCAGGAAGCTAGTAGTCTGGAATGGTGATTTTTTTAGAGCACAAAAAATCTGATGTAGATACTAAAAAATAGTTGATTTGTAGTAGTATTTTTTTTTTCAAATGGACATATTCTGATTGTAACTTAACTTAAATGACTGGTGAAGCCAGGCGACCACATGATCAGTCCCATGAAGCCAACAATTTGTGCTTTTTAGTACATATTTTTTGAATTTTTACTGGAAGGCCCCCTTTATTTTTTGGTGGCCCTTCTGTGCCTCCTTTTTTTTGAAAATCTGGATTTGCTACTGTTTGTCTGTAGAAATTTTTTGCAGATAAAAATCTTATTAGACCAGAAACGGTAAGTTTAGTGTAGTTTCATTTTAAAAATGTATAGTAAACAGCTTCACTTTGTGCAAAATTCTCTCATTTACATTTACAACGCAAAAACCATTTGTGTTAAGAAGAAAACAAAATCGTAGAATTTGAAGGTGATGGTGATAGGGTTGTAGCATTTGTACTTTCAGAAATAAAAGACAAAATTAAGCAACAATGTTCAATCTTTTCTTCCTAACTTTAAAGAATAATTTAGTTAAGTTCATCCTGTAGAAAAAAAAATTTCCGAGTTATCTCCCATTATAAATCTTTGAATTTCTAATCTGTTATTTGTTATCAAACATATATGAATTAGAAAAAATAATCATAAATTGCTTCATTTCATTAAGAAAAAGCTTGCAAATATATTTATTTCTGCATTAAAATTTGCTAAATTCCGTAAAAATCTGGACTGATCATTTGCAGTCTTTGGCTTTATATGGAATGGAAAACTCTCATACTACTTTTAAGACCTTATGGTCTAGATATCTGCAATTAAATATTCATTTCATTTACTAATTACAGGTATGGACTGAATCTGATGCTATGTTTTCTTTGTCTGTTATATGCAGGTAATTATTAAAATTCAGACAGGATCCTTTTTAAAAAATCATTACAGTGAAAATCATTCTCTGGTTGAAATAAACAAAAAAATCAAGATTTCCATCAATGCAGGATTGATGCATAATATGTCCCTATGAAACTAGAATTGTGATAATTAGAGGTGATTCTAGAATATGATTGTTTAATTTTAAATCCCCATTCTGAAATGAATTACAAATATACTAAATATACAAAGACCAATTTAATTTTTTTTTATATTTACATGATTATGGGTAGGTTGTTGCTGTCATATTAATGAAAGATATTTGAAAATAGAAAACTTAACTTTAATACCTTTCTTAGTCAATTCAATGTGTGATGAAGTTAATTTCCCAGACGTTTCCAATTATATTTCCAAGATATGTATATTTTAAAACCTTTTCTAGTTTGTCACCATTTGAGTAAAAACCATATTTATTACATAAAATATTCATCTGTTGAAAGACCATTATTAGCTCACATGGCCAAAAGTGCCAAGTGAGCATTTCTCATCACTTGGCGTCTGTCGTCCGTCGTTATAGTCCGTCGTTGTTATCGTCGTTAACTTTTTACATTTTGAACTTCTTCTAGAGAACCACTGAATAGAATGAAACCAAACATGGCATGAATGTTCCTTATGAGGTGCTGACCAATTGTTGTTACTTTGAAGCAGATCCAAGATGGCCACCAGCATGGGACTTCGTTTAACATAGGACCCTATGGACAATACATACAAATGTCTTCTTTTAGGGAACCACTAAATGAAATGAAACCAAACATGGCATGAATGTTCCTTATGAGGTGCTGACCAAGTGTTGTTTCTTTGAAGTCTATCCATCATTCAAGATGGCCGCCAGAGGGAGACTTAGTTTAACATAGGACCCTATGGGAAATACATACAAATGACTGCAATCTTTTAGAGAACCACTAAATGGAATGAAACCAAACATGGCATGAATGTTCCTTATGAGGTGCTGACCAAGTGTTGTAACTTTGTAGGCAATCCATCATCCAAGATGGCCGCCAGCATGGGACTTTGTTTAACATTGGACCCTATGGACAATACATACAAATGTCTTCTTTTAGAGAACCCTTGAATGGAGTGAAACCAAACATAGCATGAATGTTCCTTATGAGGTGCTGAACAAGTGGTGTTACTTTGAAGCCAATCCATCATCCAAGATGGCTGACAGAGAGGGACTTAGTTTAACATAGGACCCTATGGGAAATACATACAAATGTCTTCTTTTAGAAAACCACTGAATGGAATGAAATAAAACATGGCATAAAGGTTCCTTATAAGATGCTGACCAAGTGTTGTAACTTTGTAGGCGATCCATCACCCAAGATGGCCGCCAGCGGGGGGGACTTGTTTAACGTAGGACCATATGGACAATACATACAAATGTCTTCTTTTAGAGAACCACTGAATGGAATGAAACCAAACATGGCATGAATGTTTCTTATGAGGTGCTGACCAAGTTGTGTTACTTTGAAGCTGATCCATCATCCAAGATGGCCGTCAGCGGGGGACTTCGTTTAACACAGGACCCTATGGACAATACATACAAATGTCTTCTTTTAGAGAAGCACTGAATAGAATGAAATAAAACATGGCATGAATGTTCCTTATGAGGTGCTGGCAGATTTTAGTGTTGTTATTTTGTAGCCAATCAATCAGCTAAAATGGCTGCCAGCGGGGAACTTAGTTTAACAAAGGACCCTATGGACAATACATACAAATGTCTTCTATAAGGGAATCACTGAATGGAATGAAACCAAACATGGCATGAATGTTCCTTTTGAGGTGCTGACCAATTGTTGTTACTTTGTAGCCAATCAATCATCCAAGATGGGTGCCAGCGGCCCTATGTGAAATACATACAAAAGTCTTCTTTTGAAGAAACACTGACTGGAATGAAACCAAGCATGGCATGAATGTTCCTTAAGTGTTGTTACTTTGTAGCAAATTCATCAACCAAGATAGCTGCCAATGGGAGACTTAGTTTAACAAAGGACCCTATGGGAAATATATACAAATGTCTTCTTCTAAAAAACTGCTAAATGGATTGAAACCATACATGGTATGAATGTTTCTTTTGAGTTGCTGACCAAGTGTTGTTACTTTGTAGCTGATTTGTCATCCAAGATGGCTGCCAGTAGGGGGAGTAAGTTTAAAATAGGACCCTACGGGAAATACATACAGATGTTTTCTTCTAGAGGAGCACTGAATGGAATGAAACCAAACATAGCATGAATGTTCCTTATGAGGTGCTGATGAAGACTTTAATACTTGTATCTTTATAGATTGAGATATACTGTAAACTGCAAAAATATCAAGAAAAGAGAGGCCCCTCTTGGGGGTGTCCAAGTAATCAAATTTTTTGCCAATATAATCACATAATCAATAATTATTTTTTTAAACAAGATAATCAAATAATCAAAAATACAGTTCTAGATAATCAAATAATCATGAATATTTGGACTGGTAATCAAATTATCACTATAAAAACGGCCAAGTAATCACATAATCAAAAAACCCATGAGCAGGCTCAAAAGATGATCTACACATAAGTCAACATGAGCAAAATTGTCAATTGACATCTTGTTGGAGTTATTGTCCTTATAAAGTGATTTTCTACAATCTCAATTTATATTGTAATTTCTGTAAACTTTACAAAAGTCTTCTGCTTTTGATTAAATTACGGGGCCAATATTAAACCAAATTTGGCCTCAATCATTATTAGGGTATCTGTTATGATTTTAATCTATTTTAACATGATTTCCAATACCAAAGTAGAATTAGGTGAGCGACACAGGCTCTTGAGAGCCTCTAGTTTCAGTTTTTTATACGCCCGTTTACGGGACGTATTATGGTATACCGTCCGTCTGTCCGTCCGTCTGTCCGTCCGTCGTCAACATGTCGGACATTAACTCAAAAATGCTTTAACCAATTTGCATAAAACTTTGGTGAATTGTTTATATCTATTGACGTGAGCTCCCTTTCCTTTTTTATAAAATTTAGATTTGACGTTTCCGAGTTATGGGGTTTTATTCATTAAAAAAAGGGGGATTTTCCAGTTTTCGGACAATAAGTCAAGAATGCTTTCACCAACTTGCAAGAAATTGTGGTGAATTGTTTATATTTATTGACATGAGCTCCCTTTTGATTTTTAAAAATTTCAGATTTTACGTTTCCGAGTTAGAGGGTTTTATTCATAAAAAAAGGGGGGATTTTCCAGTTTTCGGACAAAAACTCAAAAATGCTTTCAGCAATTCTTATGAAACTTTGGTGAATTGTTTGTATGTATTGTTGTAAACTCCCTTTAGAATTTTATAAATTTTACATTTTACATTTCTGAGTTATGGGGTTTTATTCATTAAAATAAGAGGTTATTTTCCAGTTTTCTGACAATAACTCAAAAATGCTGTCATTAATTCTCATGAAACTTTGGTGAATTGTTTATATCTATTGATGTAAGCTCCCTTTTTATTTTCATAAATTTCTAATATGACATTGAGAATTAATTGAACTTTATTTGTTTATAGTCTGACAACAGATTTACTAAGTATTGCACAACAGCAAGAAAACTTTACATGTAATTGAACATAAATTCAATTCATATAACCAATTTCAAGTTCTTTGAATACATTTATTCAGAAACCTATAATATGTCAAATATTTAATTACAATCCAAATTCAGACCTGAATCAAGCTTGAATATTGTGTCCATTTTTGCCCCAACTGTTCAGGGTTGGACCTCTGTGGGCGTATCTAGCTGCGCTCAGCGAAGCAGTTTTTGTGTTTTTATTGTGAGCTGCCACTGATTACAATAAGAGTTTAATTTATCTATAGAGTTCTGTAGACCTTCATGAGTTGCAGGTATTACTAACAGAATGTCATCTACAAACATAGGCAGTTCATCGTCATTTTTTCAGTCACTGGTTTACAGTTTTACTGTTTACATCAACTATTTCTGATAGATCATTTATATATATACAATCTATGATAAATTAAAATTGTATTTACCTCCCCTAAAAGATATGACCAGTTTGAACCCACCTTGGCAGGAATAACTAGTTCCTTGTGTTTTCTAAATGAAACCCAAAAGATGTTATTTATCTAATTGGTCAGTTTTCAGATTTTATTCCTATTGAAACTATGAGGTCAAATTAAATCCTACAAACTTATTGGAATGACAATGGCAAAACTGATAAGGTATAGATAAATATTATTTTCATTATTTTATTTCAGACATAATTTTTTAGTATATGAAGTACCTGGGTGTCCACCATATTTAGCTATAGATAATTGTTTTTCAGAAAATGTAAGTTATGATAACTATTTCAAGAAAAGTTTTATATGTTTGTCTGATTTCTATTTACTACTAGCATCCAAAACTGATTGTTTTTGCCAAAGGATACTAATAAGGTCTTCAAAAGATATGATTGCCTTTAAATGCCTTATACATCATATGATATAAAGCTCAGTTAACTGCCTAGTATAAAAAGAAGGAGATATGGTATGACTGTCATAATGAGACAACTATCAATCAGAGTTCCAATTGACTGAAAATAAAAGCAATTATAGGTCACAGTACAGCCTTCAACAATGAGAAAAACCGAAACCATATAGTCAAGCTATAAAAAGCCTCGATATGATAAATCAGTCCAGTGTCTTGATAAGTTAATAAATCTAAAAGAGACTTGCATAGATCTACAATGTTGTCTGTATTTTCTACTTCTTCTTTTTGTGATAACGAAAAGAAATAAGTTAAGCCTTTCAATTGATTATCTTTCTAGTTGATCCCATATGTTGGAATTTTTTTTTAGATACAACCTTGAATAGCTAATTAGGATAAACCTTGATGAATCAGCAATCCAGCAATACAAGAATAAAGAGATGTGGTATGATTGCCAATGAGACCGAATGATTACCAACTATCCACCAAAGTTCAAATGAAGTAGATGTAAGTGTAAATGCTCTTTTGTTCCGACGTTGGAAAGTTCCGGGCGGAAAGAACTAACTAGCCGAAAAGTTCCAGAGGAACTTATTAACTAGTTACTTTGTTCTTCCACTGGTTTAAAAGTTCCACCGGAACAAAGTGACTAGTTGAAAAGTTCCAACGGAACATATCAACTAGTTAGAAAGTTCCTTTTTGCCAAATTAGTCAAAACCAGAACTAACAAACAAGCCCAAAAGTTCCTACAGAACTTATCAACCAGGCAGAAAGTTCCATTTGGAGAATTGATGCAAAGTAAAAGCGCAACATATTATATTTGAACCTTTCAAAGGGAAACCAAGATACTGATTACAAAAGTCAAAAGGAACTTATCAACTAGCCACAAAGTTCCTCTTTGGCAAATAAGTCAAAACCGGAACTAACAAACTAGCCCAAAAGTTCCAACGGAACTTATCAACCAGTCACAAAGTTCCATTTGGAGAATTGATGCAAAGAACCACATGAGGAGGGGGGTATTCTTCCCTCTCTTGAGGGTACTATGAATACTAAATTTGCATGATAATGCAACTTATTCCGTTTTATGTGAGCTATGAAATACAACTTAAATTTTGCATATTTGTCCCCAAAGAAACCCCTTTCAGTGCGTTGGGTATTCTTGTAAATTAATGATTTGCTCTTATATATACTGATACTCATTCTCCCCCCTCTTTCTACAAAAAGGACGAAATATGGTATATTCGGAACGATGTAACTAGTTGTTCTGTTCCTCCAGAACTATTCAACTAGCTACATTGTTCCGGGACTTTTCAACTAGCTACTTTATTCCGGAACTTTTCAAGTGCACTCGAAATAAAACAACTAGTTGGAAAGTTCCATCGGAACGAAATAACTAGTTGAAAAGTTCCGCCGGAAGAAAGTAACTGACGGAACATAGTGGCTGTTACATAAGCAATTATAGTCAACCGTACGGCCTTCAACAAAGAGAAAAACCCATATGTGTAGTCAGCTATAAAAGGCCCCGACATGAAAAATATGAAACAATTCAATTGAGAAAACTAACAGCCTGATTTATAACAAAACAATTTAAGAAAAACAATATGACAGACATGAACCAGTGACAATCACTGAACTACAGGCTCCAGACTTGGGACAGGTACATATAGAATGTGGTGGGGTTAAACATGTTTGAAGGCGCCAACCCTCCCCTAACCTGGGACAGTGGTGTAACGGCACAACACAAGAACAAACTATAGGGTTAAACTGGTTTGCTGGCTCCTAATCCTCCCCCTAACCTGGGACAGTGGTGTAACAGTACAACATTAGAACAAACTATAACAAGACCGGTAGACGTGCGCAGGGGACAAAAATCAGTTGAAAAGGGCTTTACTCGTCAGATCGATACAAAGTTTACAATAAATATATATCTTTAAACATGCTAAATGTGACAAAAAATTTAAAACAAAAAAACAAAAAATCCATTTTGATTACTGTGGATTCATTTATTTTCGTTGGCACCAATTTTCGTGGGTTGAGGAAAACTTGCATATTCGTGGATATTTTATTTCGTGGTTTTGGTAAAGTCTGCATACATTCCTTAAGAAAATTTGTATTTCGTTGAACATTTAAATTCGTGGTTCTCCTGTATCCACGAAATCCACGAAAATTGGTATCCAACGAATAATAATGAATCCACAGTAACATAATTTGGTTTAACTTACTCCATTGATGATCAGACCTCAAGCAGTTTCATTTAATGCAAAATGTAAAACAAATGATTTTTTTCAGGTTATGCTATGTAGAATAGATGCCACACACCTTGAAAGTGTTTTTCCCAAGTCATATGTACAAGATTTAGCTCTATGTCAGTGTAAGTTGATTATAAAATATAGATACTTTAATCATGTTAATAGACTTTGGATTTACAAGAGCTTAACATTTTGTTGTTGGGTTGCTGTCTTGAAAACACCTTGGACCCTGTTCACGCTTGGACATTTAGATAGACTTAAACTAGATTGATTCACTTTAGATCGATTAAACTATAACAACAAAAGAGGTAGTTTAGTTTGAATCGATCTAAAGTGAACTATTCTAACTTTAAATGTGAATGCAGAGATCAATCTAAAATGGTACTATTGAATCGAAATAATTTTTGCGCATGTATGGCGGCAATTTATTACAAAATTGACGACCAACATAAAAGGGATGAAAATTAACGAAAACTATACAAACAGCAGTATTAACATTTAAACTTGTAGTTCAAGTGAAACAATAACTTCATCCATTAGTTTTTTGCAAGCATATGTATCGACACATTAATTTGATTTAATATTTCTATATTTATACACTGATTTCACATTCATGGGTAATTAGGTCAGATCGATTGCATTTTTACTTGTAGTGTGAACCCAGTGGTTCAAATTAGACTGATGGAGATCCTCTGCATCCGTAGGATTAAAGATAATGTGAACGCTAACTGGTTTTATTAAGATAGATTCAAATTTAGATTGATTAAAAGAATGCTAGTGTGAAGGGGTCTTAATTTAGAGTGTGATTTTTCTACACAAATTGTTGATAGTAAAATTTACTACTATTGATTGCTGACCTAGTTTTCATGTAATAATTTTATGATTTTACATCCTGTTAAATAGTTACACAATATGACAATGTTTAGTTTCATCTTTAATCTTGATGATATTGTTAATTAAATGATGACAATAATTATCAGATTATAATTTTGATCCTGAGAAAAAAAAATTCTGCTCACAATTCACACAGTTGCTTTATTGGGGATGGGCAATATAATAAGAACTTGTAGGAAGTCAAAGGTCAATGTCACAACAGACTGAAAATTTGGAAAAGTTTTAAGTTTTTTGGATATTATCTTTTAAATCCTCCATGCCATCAATACTGAAGTAAGTTTTGTTCATGTCACTTGAAAAGAGAAAACATTAAAAAAAATTGATTGTTTTGGACAAAGATGTTTCTAACTCTACAAATCCACTTGGCATTCATGTGTGAGGGGCTGGATGGGGGTCCTCTAACTCTGTATTCTTAAGTCAATTTTTTATTTTTTATAAATTTTGCCCATTGTTCTCTATTTATATTTTAGCACCCCATCATTCTCTATTCTTTATATTTTTTGCTGATTATTCTGCACCTTTTGCCCATTATTCTCTATTCTGTAAACCCCATCCAGACCCTCATGTGTTAACTAGTATTATATCCTTTTGGTTGAAATACTAGTGTAAATATTCCCCGACATATTTCCTTAAGGTTTTATTTTAAAGGAATGAACATGCTTGTGAGACAAGGAATACAGTCAAGTGCTTTTCTATGGAAAGCCAAATGGGTAAAAATTTCAACATTTCAATTTTTAAATTGTTAGTATGTAACTTCATAATATTGAAATTCGAACTTTGCAATTTAAAAAAAAATGTATCAGTGCAACTCGGTAAATAAACTTCTAAAAATTGAAGCTTTTGTTGCAACTCTACAACTATGTAATTTTAAATTCTAAATTTGATGTTCCATACTTTCAACATGGTATATTTTTGATATGTTCATTTAGAATTTAACTGTTGTAATTGTGACCCCTTTGGCTGTTTGGCTTTCCATTCATTTCATGTACCAGAACTCTACATGCCAGAATAAAAGTATGCTTACACGTGATGCCTTTATCATGTTTATTATTTTTGAAAGTATCTCTTAAAAATGATTGAATTCATAAGACTGAAATTTGAAGATATTTCTTACATAGGTAAGTAATTTTGTTGAATTATTGTTATATAAAGTTCAGAAAAAAGTATGTGGGAAAGTATTATTAGGGAGCTACCATTTGATTTTTATGGGGGCAGGGGGCTAGGATAAAAAAATGTCGTCCTGCCTTTTTATTTATCACTCTATTTGGTCCTGCCTTTTTTTTTTATTAGTTTATCCTGACTTTTTTTTACATAAATTGTCATCCTGCATTTTTTTTGGCAAAGTTGCTCATCCTACCTTTTTTTTACTCAAACTCCTGTCCTGCTTGTTTTTTCATATTTCATCCAAAGCACCCCCCCCCCCCCCCCCTAAAAATCAAATGGTAGCTCCCTTACAGATATTGATTTGTGGTCTTATTAATGGCTTTTCATCCATTCCTCGTAGTGAAAAATATCTGCAATACAATGATCAGTTGAGTTAACTTCTTAAAAGCAACAGAAAAGTTGTATTATATTTGTCAACGTATATTTGTTCTGCTTAAGAGAAGTTCCCCTGGAAACTTTGTTATAAACAATGTCATAATATCTGTTCCTGTTGGAACAAATATTCTATACCCTTTATTCCGTAAGGAACAAATACTGTAATATTTGTTCCAGTGGAAATAATATTACAGAATATTTCTTCCACTTGGAACTTATATTATGAAGGAACTTCTATTTCGTGACATATCTACATTTAAATATTTGCCTACTGTAATTTACAGCTGCTTAATTTGCTTCAAAATCTGTAAATGTTAATAATTATTTCAGCTATTGTCTATGATATATTATATCATGGTGTCTACAACTTTGGTGAAGAAGAAATAAAAGAAGCAATACAAATAATAAGGGAACAAGAAGGAAAACAGAGGAAGAAGTCCTATAGATACAGTGGAACTCCATGGTAATGTATTTTTTTTTTAACAACTGTGCCTAAGGGAGCTACCATTTGATTTTTATGGGGGGGGGGGCTAGGATGAAATTTGAAAAAAATAGGCAGGACAGGAGTTTTGAGTAAAAAAAAAAAGGGAGGATGAGACACTTTGCAAAATAAAAAGGCAGGATGACAATTTATGTAAAAAAAAGTCAGGATAAACTAAAAAAAAAAGGCAGGACCGAATAGAGTGAATAATGAAAAGGCAGGACAGAGATTACAAATAAAAAAAAATTCAGGACAAAATTTTTCATATTAGCCCCCCCCCCCCCCATAAATATCAAATGGTAGCTCCCTAATTAAACCAGACTTGGCTACAATCATCCTTGTTGTATCTTGTTTAAAAAAGTGTGTCAATTAATCCAAACTTGGCTACAGTCATCCTTGTTGTATCTTGTTAAAAAAAAGTGTGTCAGATGACCACAGGGTTTTTTGTGGGTATTTTGGGAAAAAGCACCCTGGGCAGTTCTGGGAATTTTTCACATGATTTTCAATGAAATTGGGACAATCCAACAAATATACCAGATGTGAGTTTTGATGTGTATAGTTCATATAAAATTATCTCTTTTGTGAAAATAAAGTGAGAAATAACATGATTGCCATTTATAATTTGTTTGAATTTTGACATGAACACTTGTGGACTAAAAATGTCTTCCGAGTTTCCGTAAAAAAATATTTACTTTTTTCTTCTTCCTTTTTAATATATCTTTTGGTTATCAATTCAAGAGTTTATATGTAATAGCTATAGTTTGTCACCTGAGGCGAATTTAAAAAAAAAAAAATTTGTATTTGATTGGCAAACCCAGAATTAGAGGTAGCACTCCACAGTTAAGTGTGTAGTTTCACATTTTGGCCCCTGTGGATTTTTCAAATATGAAAGCTAGTGTGCAATAAAATTCATTTTTGGATGGCTGAAGATTAATGTAGCCTTCATACTTGGATTATAGGAATATCAAGATTGTGTAATGTATATTTTATGGGCTGTTGTCTGTATTTTCATATCCATACCAGATATTGGTCCGGAAATTATTGTAATGTATTTTTCCAACTTTTTGTCACACGAACTTTGTGATTAAATTTTACAAAAAAATGAGCCGAAAGACACCCAATTTTCATTGGCTTATTTGGTAGATTAATGTCAATCGTTTCAGAAAATGTGTCACTCAAAGGGATTGCAATTCTAGATTGAACCAAATTTTGTGGGAATATTTGACATTTTCATCCCCCTTTTTTCAATATTTTATTGTAAATTAATGCAGAATGTTGCCATGGATACACAAAAAATGAATTATATTACACTATTTTAACTTCTGAAAACAAATCTATGTAAGATACTGATTACATACATATGCACATATATGACACAAACAGATGGCTTAATGTATTAGAGAGCCAGGAATAGAAGATGATTAAACATTTTGTGGTTCAATTTTAATTTTATTTTCTAACTGTGGAGTGCTACCTTATCCACTTGCGGAATCTGATCAGGTATTGCATTTGTCTACATTTCCGGTTTATAGCGGCCATTTGTCAAAGTTGTATTTGTCAATCGGATATGTCTTAACTCGGTTTAACACATTTACTTGTTTGTGATTTTCTGCATAAAGCTAGCGGTTGAACAAAAAGAACATCGCTGTCATGAACAATATAGGTGAAAATGTAATTTGAACAATTTTCAATCCTGCCTGCAGATGTCCCTAAAAATCTCGTATGGGAATTTTTCCACCCGAAATTGGGAAAAATGTAGAGGTTTTGCCATTGGGAATGGGTCCGAATACCAGACCCTGTGGGATGCTAGAAAAATCCGACCACGCCTGCCAACCAACTTGGCCCCTAATGCTAAAAGAAGAACACGGGTAAAATGCAAGTATTTTCTATTATCTTGTAAACTGTTGTAGGTAGAGAAAATCTGGCATGGGCGGAAATGTTCCAAATGATGGCATCTTCCTATTGTCCATTTACACCAAAATTGCCAGATAACTCCTTTCTTTTTGCAGTAGAAACTTTGCTTTTCTTCAAAAATCACAGATTTGGAGAAACAAGACTTATTGTGCTAATTTCAATTAAAATTGATATATACAGAAAAATGTAATAATTATGGTCAAAAAGTTTTTGTTGAAATAATCATGAGAAAAATCTTATTGTAATAGGATTTCAACAAAAACATAATTTATTCCAAATTGATAGGGATGTAAACAAAATTAAATATGTAAGCATACATTCATTCTGATGTATAGAATTTCTAGTATATGATATGTCCTATTGTATATCTTCTTCCAACTAGTGAAATTATTCAGTCAGATATAAAAACCTTGGGGAAAATTTGTCTTGGATTTTTTGTTTTTAAAGGCAGTGCTTTAATGCCTTTCTAGTTGCCGTGTTAATATTTCTTTCCGCGATATCCAACTTATCTACGTGGGGGGTCATTTAGCTCCAAGTAGATCCGGAAAATGTTGATTCTCTCCTCTTCTTATTGTGGTATAAAATGTTTTTTGTCTCATTTCATTTACATTGGGAAATAGAGAAACGATCATTGTGTTTTGTTAGTTTTAAAAACTTTTGATATATTTGTATTTTACATTATAAGCAGTCAACCGATTGACAAACTAGAAAGAGGACGGGTTAATTTCGAGTGTTATCTGCAATCTAGATGTTTATAAATCATTTCAGTCGTTGATATAATAATTAAAGGTCGACTGAACATGAATTATATTATACAATTTAAAGCGCATTTCTGTTTATGCACGCGAACCCGTCTAACGTTATTGTTATTTCGCAGTTATATAAAGTAGCAAATTATCGTTCCTGAATAGGTGGCGCCGTGGTAGCCGATCCTGTACTTCAACTTCCGGTTTCTGCACTGTGCAACTATTACAGTTGCATTTTTAATTAACGATGCCAAGTACTTGTTGTTGTGTACCTGGATGTCATTTAAGAGGAGGACATGCATTTCCAAATGACTTAAAAAGAAGGAAAAGTTGGATCAACGCCATGGCCCATACGCAGATTGGACGAGAACACGATGAAATCGTGGAGTCCATCTCAATCAGCTGTTGTTTGCAAGGCACATTTTACTGAAAAAGACTACGTGCAGGAAACTGTTCATGGTAAAACTCTATTTTCTTTTTAAAATATATAGTTATAAATGTAATCGCCATGCGAATAAACCAAAGTCAGTTTACAACCGCAATTATCGTTTTAGAATAAAAGGGGGTGGTTAATTCAAGACGTCATAATTTTTTGGATTACGATTCAATGTGATCTGTTTGAGATTTTTTGGTGCTTGCTACAATTATAATGATTTCTTACAAGAGGTATATCATACTGAGAATTATTTTAGCAGTAATTATGCTTATGTAGTAATGACAGGAATGCATAAGCTTTGCCTCATAGACTTTCTTGAAAAATATCAATGACAATGTTAACAGGAACAAAACAATGACATGCTCTCATCTATATTATAGTTATTTAGGTACAAACAATGTATGTTTGTTGCATACGTCTCTCATTGTTTGTCCTTTGGATTTACATAACATACATTTTGATGTACATTGAATCAGGCTAACATAGTTTTATCCAGATTGTAATGAATAAATCTAGTTAATATTTTGCCAGGTTACGAGTACAAAGGAATTATAGTTATCTCGTACCATTGTAACTCATACCAATGTCAACTCGTACCACTAAACAAAAACTCGTTCCAATGCAAACTCGTACCACTGCTAACTCGTACCACGGTAAATTCATACCATTGTAAACTCGTACCAACTTATTTAAATGCATTCAAATGGTGTTTAATGATAAATATATACTTTAATTTCACTCAATACCTCTTAAGTCTGTAAAATTTATATAATTTGAAATTACAATAACCAATTTGTAGCTAATTTTCCTTGTCTAATTGGATAGAGAAAACCGTGGCAGATTGGCTTTGTTGTCTCCCTTGAATAGACTCTTTTTTAAACTTTTACTGACAACTATTTGATTTAATTTTTAATCATTCCAAATCAGTAACATTGAATAGATTTGGGTATTTTTCTATTGTTTCTAAAAGGAATTTTATTTAATGAAAGAATTTATTGATTGTGTTTTAAAGGTTTAAAATTGTTTATGACCAACAGTTAGAAAGTATGAAATTTATTTTTATACAATATTCCGCACATTTCAGCAGAATATGTATGACCATGCTTATATGATTATACAAGTTGATTAGTTAAAGATAAAAAAAACAAGTTGATTAGTTAATAATCAACCAATAATCACACAATCAAAGGAATTTAATATATTTATTAGCATGGTAATTAAGAAATTACATATGTATTTTTGTCTAAGTTTTCATTAAAATCTGGTATAAATTTCAAAGATATTTTAATTTTTTGTATAAAGCTTAAAAAAATAATAATCATAAAACATTCATATTTTTGTCTAAGTTTTCATTAAAATCTAGTATAAAATTCAAGTAATTCAACTTTTTTTATTTAGTTTACCAAAAAAAAATCATAAAACTTTCGTATTTTTGAATATATTTTTAATGGTACGAGTTTGCAGTGGTACGAGTTCTGATTGGTACGACTTCCCAGTGGTACGAGTTTACGTTGGTACGAGTTTACGTGGTACGAGTTTACAATGGTACGAGTTAACTTGCTTCTGTACAAAGTATGCATTGCTAATGGAAGTTCATTTAATTATCAAAAAACAAATGTTTTATAACCTTTTTCAGGGCACAAACCCACCATACAGAGACTTAAGTCTACTGCCAATCCCAGCCTATTTTCCTGGACCAAGCAAGAGACTGAATCGTCCGCAAAAAGAAAAATCAGGGCAGTTTCCTGTGAAAACAAAAGAACTAAACTTGATGAATATTGTAGTAGAAATCTAGAGGAAAGTTTTGATTGTAAAGTTGGTTTTCCTGAAGAAGTAATTCATTCTGCAGACAGGATTTATGACTGTCCACCACCAACTGCCCAGCT